ATTTGACGAAATCAATTTCCATAATTTTTGATTCACAGTCATAAACAAACGCAGAGATAGTATAATTTTAATATCTTATATCCTCTATATCCTCTATATATTTACTGCTAAAGACGTGTATATTTCTAATATGAGAATACCCATGCCATTCCATTGGAATCCCATTGGAATTTTATTTCAAATTTCGACAGGAATCAAAGAATTCAATGGAATTTAACGACCGAAAACGAGGAAAGAAAGGCACACGTTTGTCTAAATAGCGGAGAAAGCGAACCCATCACGACCTGGTTTCTATCTTAGGGTACCATCATCATAGGTCACGGAAGAAAAGAAAGAATGAACAAAGAAGATATACGACAATAACAGATGCGACTGCAAGAAAGAATTCTTCCTCAATTTTAGTCGAAATGTGGCTTTCGTCCGAGCGCGAAGGGCTTTAGGAAAAGGAATTTTGGCCGCATAGCTTTGGCCGTACAGTGCATAAGTGGAAAACTCGTCAGCTGATCATAGAGATATTCAGCTGATACACAAGAGAGCGCGGGCGGCCAGCATACGATTTACGCGCTATATCTTTTACTGTGCCAGCTGACGGCTTTTCCACCGACATACAGCCAGCTGACGATTTTTTTATTTAAATAATTATATTAACTATCTACTCTATAAATTTTAGCCGAGTTAAAATGACTGAAACTCAAAATTTTTTTGACGTGTTTTCGGTGCTTCCGTTGGCCCACCCACTGCTAATGCGTCAGCTGACGGTCACTATACTTTACAGCACAACTAAATTTAACATTCTACAAATTATGGTCAGAAGTAAAATGACTGACAAAGAAATGTCACTGGCTCCTGGGCTATATCGTCGCATATAAGTGTTTGTTAATATTAATGTAAAATAATGTAATGTTTATATTAAATCTACCGGAAAATTGTGTCCATTCTTAAAATAAAATAAAATAATTTGAACAATTGGGCCGTTTATTTTGAAAGTAGCCCATTTCCATTTTCCAAAAAAATCGAGTTAGTTACCATAATAGTTACATTTTTACATGATCTTTTCATTCTAAAGCAATTTATTACAAATATATTTAAAATCATGAAGATATTGTAAGACGAAAATTTGTCGATCAACAAAATGATGAAAAGTTTATTTTGAAAGTGGCTTATCTCCATTCGTCATTTATTATTTTCCGGTTACTCCTGGTTATTGTACAACTTTATGTAATGTGTCAATAAAGCATTTCATTTCGCATATATTCCGAGTAAATACTGTAGGGAAAACACTTATTCTGTATCCGGCTAAGGAAATCTGATTTCCCCTCGTTGCTGGTACCGCTTAATAATATAGAAAACACCTTTTATTTAACAAGTTATTTAGTTACAATCCGTTAGTTACAATCTACACGCAATAACATACACTCACACCGCTGCTTATTCGAAAAACACTTAATTACTAAACCGTACGTATCGTATCGTCACTCGCTATACACTTTTCGCTCAATCACCCTCTAAGTCGCACGTATTCTCTCGCTCAAAACACAACTCTTATTGTATCGCTTAATTACACTACTTCAATCGTACGTCTCGCTCTAACACTCTCTCTCTCTCTCTCTCTCTCTCTCTCTCTCTCTCTCTCTCTCTCTCTCTCTCTCTCTCTCTCTCTCGTAGCAATATCTCGCCAGGTAACAAGCTTGTCTTTGCTTACGTTGCCTAGCAACGGTCTCACATAGCAACATGACGTCATACAATAAGCTTGCCCTTGTCTTTGCCACACACACAACACACACATACACTGGATGCTTCTACTCCCACAATACGATAATACTTTATTGTAAATAAAATGAGATAAGAAGATTTTGTAGTAACAAAATTATTAAAAAAAGCAATTTGGAAAAGGGTCAAGAATTCTGATGAAGAATCAATAAATTGGTTAAAAATATGTTTGATGCGTTTTTTCAAAAATAAACCGTATAAAATTTTCTATAAGACATTAATGAATGTGAGAATGAAAATTTGAAAGTCTTGAATTTATTACCACGTCGAGGTAGACCAAAAAAGTTAGAAAATATTATATTGACACTACTATATAAAATATCAGACAAATTACAACAGCAAAATCCAAAGACATAATTGACCTATTACGATATACAGGGTGATCTGTAACTGGTGGTACAAGCGAAAATGGGGTGATTCTACATTAAAAAATAAATCAAAAATATAGAATAAATATTTTTCGTTTGAGGCTTTGTTTTCGAAAAAAAATCGACTTTGAATTTTCGCAAAGTACGCGTGCACTTGATCATGTCTCGTTATAACGGACCTATGAACTTTTTGGAAATACCCTACGAACTTTTCGGTACCCCTAAAACGGTAGTGTTATTTTTATCTGCCAAAAAATATGGTCTGCATTAAAATGAACGGCATGATTTTTTCTTAATTCATTGACCCTTATACTATTTAAAACAACAATAACATTTAAGAAATTGCTTTATGTTATTAATGTACGACAACTTAAACTTTTACAAAAATTGAAAAAATTTCATTTTTTGTTTTCTCTATATTTTTTTTAGAACAGTTTTTTTTTATCGGCAATAATACAGAACAATTGTATTTAGCAATATCATGTTAAAAAACAAGTTGCCGTACAGAGTCAAATGATTTTACAGCTGTAAAAATCAAATATACGATTAAATTAAGTTAATAATTGATATACATTCAAAAAACAACAATTTTTAAACGGCATTATTTTATTAGTACTTCTGAGTACTAAAAAATATATTGAAACTGATGCCGTTGTTTTTCAGATCATCCCCCAGACCGGTGGAAAAAGGTGGATTTTAACCCTGGATTTTTCTCCCTTGTTGCATGATTTTTGCACGGCGTTGCGGAATAATCAATTAGAATAGGTATTTAAATTGTATGAAACAAACGCCGTTCATAATCAAATGATGTAATAGACCCGGGGTTTTGTCAGAAAATCAAACATTTTTTCCGACTTTGTGGCTTACTATTTTTTAACGGCACTACGTGTTTTCTCATTATTTTCGATGGATCTATAGGTGGTAAGAATGCCGTAAAAAATCATTTGATAAAAAAGCACCCGGTTATTTTGTGCTTTTTAATTCTCACCTGCACTCAGTTGGACAGCTTACAAGTCACGGCATAGTGCTAAAAATTATTATTTTATGCCCTTCTATCGTCCAATATAGGTTTCCTGCGGGATCATATGACCCATCGATTTTTTAGGTCGAGCCTGTAGTCTAGAAGAGCTTGTCGAGAGAGTTCAACAAGCTCAACGGTCTATAGGAAGACGGGACTCTGTGGTCCCCACCCTTGCCTTTAGGGATGGGGATCACGCTGGCCGTTTTCCACTATCTACAGAACACTCCCGTCATCAAGCATGTGACATCTACCTATACTCTGGCTCTTCTTATAGCGAGCGGCCTGACAGGGCCCACCTAACGACTGACTGTGACTTGAACGGAAAGGCATCGAAATTCGGCGTGGTGTTTAACGTATTAGAATGGAATATACAAATTGCCACCATGTTGGCAAGAGTTTAAAAGTAATTAAATTAATTAATTGGGCCGCTTATTTTGGAAGTGGCCCATCTCCATTTATGTTCGAATCGTGATATTGAATGGTTTGTGTTTCAGTGGAATGAAAAATATACGTACAAGATACTAACAAGTTATACTGCTTAAGTGTATCTAAAGGCTTTAACCCTTTGACTGCTATGGGTGCATATATGCGTCCGACGCAAGCCATCGATATAGACTATGGACGCAAATGTGCGCTTGGCGAAGTTTTGGCTGTTTACTGTTTTCTTATATGTATGCTCGGAAATACAAAAAAAAAAAAAGAAAAAAAAATAGTATTTTGTCCCCAGCGATCGCTTCAACCTAGAGTAGTTAGCAGTTAAAGGGTTAATCTTTTCATAAAGAAATTTGATTATAATTTTCGCATATCACATATTTAATTCGATCAAAGTCAATTAACGTTATCGAGTCTTGATAAGAGAGAGAGAGAAGAGAAAAAATAAGATTGAACAAATCTAATAATAAATCAAAATCATTGAAAGATTATCTCGATTGTATTTTCCGATATGATAGAAATATTATGTTTAAATATTTTCAAAAAAATGTAACAGGAGAGAAACAAACTGAGCTGATCTTTGTTCAGAAGGGTAAGCAGGAAAAGGGAGATATCAATCGTTCGTCTTGGTTATAGCAATACGACGGTTACATAGTAGTCGTTTAGGAAAGGAAATGACATAAATATAAAAATTGTTTTCTTCTTCCAATGTTTTATCCCTCTTGAAAAGATCATCTTTCGTTCATTCCGGTTCTTCTTTATTTGTTTTTCTTTTTCTTCATTTTTCCTACATTAATCTTCTTGCAAATGGATATATAAAAGAAAGAAAAAAAAACAAAAAAAAAAGAAAAAAGAATCTACGATTTAACGTAATATGAATTCTAAAAGACAATTATGTTTAAAAGAGATATTAATATATGTACATAAGTTTATACAATAAAAATGCGTATCATATTACATGAAAAAAAATTTCTGATCGTTTTTGTCATTTATGATTCGATGAACTATATTCCGATGATCGCAAATATGTATATTATTGTGCATGCACACTTCGGATATACAGTGTTATGTGTGTGAGAAAGAGGGAAAAGAAGCAGCAAAACAAGTGACTTATCACATATATACATATACACAGGTACACATTGAAAGGAGTCGTCCTTATCGCGCATGTTGAGTTAGTCTCCTCTTCGTCGAACAAACTCGCACGCGCCAAGCCATTGGCAGAAACCACGATGACTACCTCCACGTGCTACATGAAGCATTTTATCCGCCCTAAATTATAGGTCCGCCGTTGGCGAAGAGTTGGGGCCGAGACGGTGGGCTATAGGTTGATGAGAAGAGAGTTGGGGCAGGGTGTTGTTACGATTTTGGTGGGGGTTCTAGGAAACATAGTGGGGACACCCAGCGTGCGTTCTTCGGGCATGTACGATGATTTCCGTGGCTCATCGGTTCACAAGAAGTAAACATATTCACAGTCCTATTCTGTGCATATTTGTGAAAGGTGTCCTTTAGCTCATGCATAGTAACATTTTTTCTCGATTAAATGCGAAAAATTAACAACACGAGAAATAATGGCCAAAATTAGTGCATTTATTATTCTAATTATGTGATATTATTGTCGTATATATATCTATATATATGTGAGATTCGTGAAAAAAAATTGGACCGCTGGATATATATTTATATAGTATAATAGTATATTATATAGTATAATATTATACTTTATAATTAATAATAATATTAATTAATAATAATATTATTATATAATATAATAAATTATATTATATAGTATAATATATATATATATATATATATATATATATATATATTATACTATATAATATAATTTATTATATTACTATATTTTAACACTTTTTTTACCGCTAGCTGATTCATCGGCTCTTCATGCTCCTCATCGACAGTTAGCCGATTGACTTTTCTATTGCTAGAAACAAATGCATGTGTATCTAATCCAGTAATAACTAAACAGCAATCTGAAACACGTGCGGTCAAATAAGTGATAAGTCGAAAGTGAAATTTTGATACGTACGAAGAAGAATGGACACGAGAAGAAAATAAGTATGTGGAAAGATTTTTTTTAAGTAAGTCATTACGATTCAATTGTTCCTTTATATTTTCTTCACATTTTTTATTTCATTATTCTTTATGTCATTTGTTCCCATGCACAATTCCTTTCCTCTTTTAATTCACCGCGGTGCGTCATTGACGTGCCATTTCTGATAGAACATTTTTGTTTCATTTAATCGATTTCTAACCGTTTTAGTGCCGAAGATTTTAAAAAATCTTTGTCGGAGTGTGTGCCATGAAGCGTGATAGCGCATTCGTCATTTTTCTGCGAGTTATGCCGATCGACGCGGTCGCGTTGCTAAAACACATACATACATTTCTGTATAAAGCGTGTTGCGAATTGACAATTGTGAACAAAATTAGCGAAACGTTTTACCACACCACTTGAAAAGCGCGATCGCGTCGCGTGGCACTAAAACGGTTAATGTATCATTATACAGGTATAATTTTTTGTGCACCTAACTTTCTCTATTTCTCTCCTTATTTCTTTATCTTCGTAAGTTTATATTTATATTATAGATACTCAGGAAAAAATATTTTGACGCTTATTCCTATCGACACTTTACACATGCATTTTCTCTTTTTATTCGATAAGATTACAAAAAAAAGAGAAGAAACATGTGTATATATATATTCTTAGTTATTCTAAAAACAAATCATGTAGTTTTTTAATCTGTAAGTAGTGTAATAACAGAAAAAAAACTAGCATCAAATATCGACAAGTTCACAAAATTCGAACGATGCTCTGCTGTTTTCTTGTTTCACGATAATATACGCGAAATGTGAAAGAAAGTGAAAAATAATGAAAAAAACCAAAAAAGAAAAAAAACAAAAACAAAAAGAAAAGAAATTTTCGATGGTAGGGTAAAAAAAAGTAGAGGAAGAGAAACGACGGGACTCTGCGTCAGAGTTTGGAGGATGGAATAGTCGAGATAATTCGACCCTGTTCGTGAACTGTAGAAAGAGAAAGAAAGAGAGAGAGCGAAAGAGCGAGAGAGCGAGAGAGCGAGAGAGAGCGAGAGAGAGCGAGAGAGCATGATGTACCTTGCTTATTTGTCGTGTGATCGATACAATTTTTGTCCGCGTTTTTTTTTTAATGTCCGATTACTAATGAACTTGAAAGAATGAAAAAGAAAGATATATATATATATA